CGGACGAGCTGCCCGATGCCGCCGAGCTGTTCACGCTCTACAAGCATTTGAAGAAGTCGCTCAAGCGAATTCCCTGCGGCGAGGGTTTCCAGGATGACACCAGTCTGGTGGGCGAGCTCGCCTCGGGCGTGGGCGAGGCTGGGAGCGGGGACGACGAGCTGACGGGCCTGGGCCAGCCGTCCAGCGGTCCGGAGGTGGAGGTGGCCTCGCGGGAGGCCGCCCTGCCGGCCGCCGAGAGGGCGTCCCTGGACGAGTCGGAGCAGGCCTTTGTGGCCGAGCTCACGCAGGACGTGGACCAGCTCAACGAGCAGTACATGGAGAAGGAGGAGCTCAACGTGATCCGCTTTGACGCGCTCAAGAACGAGCTCCAGGGGGCGACCGCGCCCGGCAAGCTCCTCTCGGTGCACCGAGCGCTGGTCGACTTTCACGGCGAGCTCTTGCTGGTGCTGCACTGGAGCGTGCTCGCGTACACTGGGCTCGTCAAGGTGTGTGTGTGTGTGTTTATTTGGGTGGTGGTGGGTGGGCGGGGGGTATGGTGGATAGGGGTTGCAGGGAATGCGCACACATATGAAGACGCAGAGTGTCATGGGCGTTGAGGCTTGGCGCATTCTTGGCCATGTGCTCCAATGAGTGCTCTTGTTTGCTTATCGAGAATGCTCGGCCAGTTGCTTTCCATCCGTGTGGCAGCAATAGATGTGCAGCCCACGCCCTCGCTCACACCACAAAACCCCTAAAACAACCCACGCCCCTGTCCCACAAAATTTCCAGATTCTAAAAAAGCACCACAAGCGGACAGGTGTCCTGCTGCGGGCCCCCCACCTGACCAACATGCTCGGCCAGCCTTTTTGCAGCGTCGAGGTGACGGTGGGCATGATTCGCGAAGTGGAGGGCCTGGTCCGGTCGCTGGCGAGCCAGCTGGGCGCCGGCGCCTCGCAGCAGATCTCGGGGCCGGCGCGGGCGAGCCTGGTGGCGGCCGACGCGGAGGGCGAGGGCCCTGGCCTGGCAATCTTGGAGAGCGAGAGCAGCGGGAGCCTCGAGGCGCCGGACCGCGCCGCGAAGCGGGCCCGCCCGGGGCGCCCGGCGACGGGGGCGCCCGGGCGAGGCCGCTGGCCGCGCGGAGGAGCGCGCGGCGCCCCACCCCGAGGAGGCTGGCCCCGCCGCGGCCGAGGGCGACAGCTCCGTGCTGCGGCGCACGCGCGCCGCGCTGGGGCTCTGGCGCCAGCTGCAGCTCACGGCCTCGACGCCCTCCACGGTGCTGCCGGGGGACTGCCCCGGGCAGTCTGGTGCAACCACGCAGGTCGGCAGCGTCGGTTTCACGGTCTCTGCGCCCCAGAATGCGCTCACCGACAGCTCGTCGGGCTGAGCCCCGGGGCGATGTGTGGCCCGGGCGGTGCCCCTGGGCCGGTCCCATAAGTTTTGTCAGCCACGCGGCCGGGCACCGGCGCCACGGGCAGTTCCCATCAGCCGTTGTTCTTCTAGTGCATTCTTTTGTTGAGAGGCCACACCATTGCTTGTAGTACCTTTGCGTACAGAGCAGGGCAGGCGCCTGCCGGATCGCCGCCCCGAGAGCGGCGGCCGCGGCGGGCGCCCCGGCGCTCTTGACCACCGCCCGCTCCTCTTACTGACGCTCACCCTTTTGTCCAGTGCCGCCCTCGACGTTTTGTGGCACTCTCTTTCCTCCGCTGAGAATGGCATGCAATTTTACTTTTATTCACGCGCTTCTTCCAGCCCAGCGCCTCACGCACGGAGTCGCTCTTGAGATTCTGGCCCGTGGCTTGTCAACCAGTAGCCTATGGAACCTTGCATGGCACAGAGCACAGGCTTGATTGATGATCAGCTCGCGAAAGGGCGGTGTATTTGGTACTGCCAAAGAAGGGAAGCAAGGCATCTACAACGCAGCCTTGACGGCAGGTTTTTCAGCAGCAAACTCTTGCACCAGATCCGTCAGGCCTTGGCCGATCGCCTCCCGGCTCTCCTTGTCCATGCGATCGATGAAGAGCGCCCTGGTCGAAAGATTAGGGTGCAGATGGTGGGACGCGAGTTGACATGTGCAAGAGCTTATCCTTCTGGGTGGGCAAGGGACCATGGAAACCTGCCTGCATTCACCCGCCAGCCACTTTTGCAGTCCCTGCGCTCACTCACCTGGAGATGATCGTACTCGTGCAGAAAAACTCGGGCCGGCAGGCCCTGCAGATCGAGCTCAAAGGCCCGGCCCCGGACATCCATGGCGGCAATCCTGACGGCCAGGGGCCTCTGTGCATCATGGGGACGATGAACTGGCTGATTGCTGCTGTCCATGCGGCAAGGATTGCACGATAGAAACACCGCCGTAATCCCTCAAGCCACGTGCCTTTACGTTGCCGTAGAGCTCGGGGAAGGAGAGGCACCCCTCTTCGAAATCCTCCTCCTCTTGCGAGGCGCCCACGATGATAGGGTTGGCCAGCACCACTTCTTTCTCTTCGCCGGGGACGTTGAAGACCATCAGTCGCAAGTTGACGCCCACCTGAGGCGCCGCAAGGCCCATGCCATTGTCCCTGGGAAGGGGAATTGATCGTGTGAGCTGGCAGACTCCTGCCAGCAATGGAAGATCGTGGTATGCTCCCCACAGACCCTTTGCAGCCCTCTGCCAACACCCAGCTCCCAGCTCAATGCAAGCTTCTTACCGGTACATGCAGTCAAACATCTCTCGTGCAAGCCTTGTCAAGTTCTTGTCAAAGAAGGAGACATCCTTGTTGCGTGCCCGAAGGCAAGGGTCTGGGTATTTCCGTATCCTCAGCGGCTTGGGCCAGGTGTAGGGTTCTGCGATTGGTCGATGGGTGAGGGGTTGCTGTTGCATTGAAGACTCAGCATTGCCATGAGGGATAATTGAGTTTTAAAATGGCCATGCTTCTTGGTCCCCCTTGTGCCTCTAGGCTGCAGGCTGACTGCGACGCTCAGGAACCCCCTGAACCCACCTGCTAGTGATGCAAAATCTTGCGACCCTCCCTGGCCACGATGCACTTTTGAGAGTTCTCTGGTGACTCTGCTGACCCGCGGCTTTGCCCCTGGAGCGCTTGCGTGCGCCGAGCGCGACCCAGGATGCCAAGCCTGGCCGCTGGTAAAGGCGAGTTGCCGGCAAGCGCCCACCAGCCGTGCGCCCAAGGAGCCAAGCATGGCCCGACTTGTCATATTTATATTGGAATAAACTCTTTCGTAATATTTAAATAAAAATAACGTATTTCAGGAGCGTTTTCTAGCTGGTGCATACCAATTGTTCCACTGATCCACGGGCTTCTCCTCCCGGTAGCTCGCCCTCTCGGCGCGGGCGATCGGGCGCGGCGATGGATCCTCGAACACCGTTTGGCCAGCGAGCGCGGTGCCAGGCATCGCAAGGCCTCGCAGGTCGTCCCATCTCGATGCATTTCGATTGATTGTTCTTTTCTGCTGAGACCAAGCGCCAGGACTCGCTGCGCTCCCCGTCCCAGTCACCAGTCGACAGTCCAACACCCTGGATAGCAGCGGAGCGTACCCGGGAGTCCCGCGCGGGCCTCCCGGCCCCGCGGGCTACGGCCCTCCCCCCCAGGCGCTCGCCCGGCGTACCGTGGCGGTGGCCCCCCGGCCGGCGCGGCGCCCTACCCCCCTCCAGGTGGATATGGGCCGGGCCCTGGGTATGGGTACGACGCCCCGCCTCCCTACGATGCCGCCCCCCCTCCGTACCGGGCCATGGGTGGGATGCCGGCCAGCTTTTTCACCTGCGTAAAGCTGCGGGGATTGCCGTTTGGGGTGCAAGAGGCGGAAGTGGGAATGTTCCTGGTGGGTCTCATCGCCTGGGCGGGGTGGGCGCGGTGATTGGGGACGCGTGGAGGCTGCATTGTTGCTTATTTGGCGGGGGCACAGGGGGATACTGGGCGAACGACAAACTGCATTCTTGAGATTGTAGTCTATGTGTGTGTTTGTGTATTTGTGTGTGCGTAAGTGCTGACATGCCACCCCCCACTCCCCCAACACAACCAGGGCCTGGAGACCATCGACATCCTGCTGGCGCGTCGCAACGGCCGGCCCTCGGGCGAGGCCTTTGTAGTGCTGGTGCACCCGGCTGAGCTGGAGCCGGCCCTGCGGAAGCACAAGGCCTACATGGGTTCCCGCTACATCGAGGTGATCGAGGTGCGGAAGCAGGACTACTACAACGCCATCGCGAGCACCTTTGGCGGCGGCGAGGACTACGGCGGCGGCGGCGGCGGCTATCGCGGGCGCAGCCGCAGCCGGTCGCCGACCGGCGACCGCGGCGCCGCGCTGAGCACCACCATCGTCAAGCTGCGCGGTCTGCCCTTTGCCGCGACCATCGACGACATCGGCGCCTTTTTCGCCGACCCCACTATCGGACTCCTCGCGCCCAAGCCAGAGCTGTGCGTTTGAAGAGGGGGGGGGTGTTTTTAGTGGCGTTTGGAGAGGGGAGGAGAGGTATCTGGCATGTATTTATGATGGCTTGAGGCAGGAGCTGGCGTGCTGGCAGTCATGTTGTGTCATGTTGTGGCAGACGTGTTCTCACACCCCCCTCCCCCACCCCTCTCCTCTCCAATCAGGGTCTGCATCGTGACGGGGCCGGACGGGCGCCCCTCGGGCATGGGCTTTGTGGAGTTTGAGAGCCCGGAGGCCGCGGCGGCCGCGATGACCAAGCACCGGCAGATGATGGGCACGCGCTACGTGGAGATCTTCCCCTCCACCGAGGACGAGCGCGCCAGGTTCGCGCCGCACTACGTCCCTCCCCCGCGCGAGGCCGCGCCGCCGGAGGAGGCGCACGAGCACGCCTGAGCAGGGAGGCGATCCGGCTGCTTCCCTGCTGGTGATTCGCACGTCTGCTGTGCCGCAATGCTGGCACCCTTCTAGCAGAGGTGCTCATACCACCATTGCCCAACTGCTCCTGCTCTCCCAACAAATCCATAATCTTGTTTGCAATAAAAACCAAAAAGAAAATCAAGTCAGAAATATCAGATCAGAAAATTGCACGCAAGAAAACGCGATGTCAGCGGTGGGGTTCGAACCCACGCGGCAATGCCATCGGAACACTCAGAAACTGGGCTGAGAAGCTATTACGCCTGGGCGCTTCACTTGAGACCGACCCCTTAGACCACTCGGGCACACTGACAAGCTTTTGCAATTTTCCGGCCATTATGAGGGGAGGGAAGCACTTGGATATTCTTTGATCTCCTCGGTCGCGGAGCTCTCCATATGCTCAACACAGCACGATTCTCTGGCGCTCAACAGGCCGCGATTTCCACAGTACGAATCGACTACATCCCAGGGCATTGGTTGACCCCCGCCCTCGTGTGACCAGCACTAGCATTTGCCCGCGCGGCCCTCCAGTCTATCGAGTAGCCCCCCCGATCGATCGCCCAGGCCCGCCATCCCAGTGCCCGCATGGCCCTGAGAACCCAGGACTTGATCAATCAGCAGTACGAGACTATTGTGAGCAACCTGACGTCCCTCCTCAACAGTTGCAAAGTGGAAAACAGCGCGGCCTCTGACGTCGCTGGGGCTGCCAAGGTACGTGGGCAAGGTGCCACGATCGAGATGCAGCCTTGCTGGTCGCACTCTGCCGCTGCGATGCGCCCACCGACTCATATTCATCAATTCATTGGGCTCTCGTACTCAGGCGGGGCCTGCGGGGGCTCTCCCGGCGCTCTACGTGGAAAGCATCCTGCTCGCTGCTGAAAAGCTGCTTGGAATCACCCGCCTGCTCAAACGCAATGCCCTGCTGAACGACCATGCCCTGCTGAGGGCCAAGGTGGGGCGATCGATAGCTATGGGTGTTTATGGGCGGAGGGGAGGATAGACGCCTGGTGCTTTGTGGCTGCGAAGATATTGGTTATCCATGAAGGGGTGGCGCCCATGTGCATTCCACTGCACTGGTCACAGGCTGGCTAATGCCAGGAACGTGTCTTCCTGCCTCTGCAGGTGGCAGCTGCATCGCAGGGCACAAGAGAGATCGCAGATTTGGGGCACGGAGATGAGCCCCAGGCACTCGAACAGGCAGACTTCCCGTCCCAGGCCCTCTCGATGGGGCTCGATGATGCCTTTGCCATGGAGGAGTTTTGAGCGGGGCGCTGCCGGAGCACTTTTGCTTAGGCTGGGCTTCAATGCACCCGCCGAGTGCAGGGGTTATTGCGGTCATCTGACCTAAGGAGGGCCAATACTTCCAACCGTATTCCGAGTCTCAATGTGCAACTGTCAGCTGCAGTCATCACCTCAAACAACGCTTCGTTTATTTAATGTAGATGCCCTTGTGAGCATAGCACTTTTTGAACAATTTTGAACACGATCGAGCTTTGTTTGTGAGGGCAAGTCTTGGGGCCGGCGGACAATCCGAAACTGTGTCGTGGAGGCCGCCGCGGAACACCGCGCTTCCAAACATGGCACTTGACTGGATGCACCAGGCGTCATGAAATTTCACCAAATATTGGCTGCCCATATCAGTTAGCCTATTGCACTGCAGAGCTCCCCGCAGTTGAGCATCAGCACAGCGGGGCGGCGTCCGGTATGCCGCTCGAAGAGAGATGGAACACGCATTTCAGCACGACTTTGACACAAGAGCTATTTGGGTATGTTCCACATTAGCATGGATTGACCTTGGAGTTTGTTAGCATCGTATCAAGCCCATATGTGGGCTTCGCAGGTTGGAATGCACGTTTGCTCAGGACCCCAGTTCGGAAGACCTGGGGACGACGGTGTGGGACGCCTCCATCGTCCTTGCCAAGTACATTGAAAAGGTATTTGGACACAAGATGACGCGGGGGTGCCTATTTTTGGTAAAAGAGCGCAGGAGTTGGATGCTGCAACAGGATTTCGTGGCGCCATAATTCAGTTCTCTTGTGTGAGTGTTCAGCCAGTGCCCCCCTTCTCTCGAGCAGTTCTCTGGCCGGGGAGAGTGGAGCACTGCGCGCGTGTCTGGCAGTCGCTGTCTGGAGCTGGGTGCAGGCATGGGCGTCGCGGGCACAGCGCTCGCCCTGATGGGTGGGGACGTCACGTTCACCGACCTCGAGTCGGTGCTGCCCCTGCTGCGGCAGAACGTGGATGCCAACCTGAACGCCGCCGTGGTCCGACGTGCGTTGGGGAGTAACTACGTGGCCAGGCAGCAGGATGGGGCCCTGGGTGATGGTTGGTGTCCCTTGACCGTGGTGCGGTACCGCCCATGTCATGCCCCACCCGAATGAGCCACCATAGTTAACGATATCCTTGCACATCCCTTCCTGCACATGCAGTCAAGGGCCATCCACTGGCGGTGGGCCCCACCAAAGTACTGCTGCTCGACTGGGCGGACCAGGAGTCCTATGCCGCCGTGGGCGGGCCCTTTGACTTTGTGGTGGCGGCCGACTGCGTGTATGCAGAGCTTGCAGTGCCTCGCTTTCTAGCCACCGTGGTGGCCATGAGCACGGCCAAGACGCGCGTGCTGGTTGCCAACGAGTTCCGGTCCGCCTCGGTGCACGAGGCCTTCCTTGCAGAGTGCAAGCGGCTAGGGCTTGGTCTCAAGAGGGTCCCAAACTCAAAGTTGGACCCTCGTTTTGAGCACCCGTCCATTCATATCTACATGCTCAGTTTGAAACAAACAGCCCGATGATGGGGGCATATTCCAGGCAGGCAGGGGAAATTGGTCGAGGGGGTTGACACCTCCAGAGCGCGTGGCCCCTGGAGCGAGCCGACCCCCTACGGACTGGTCCTGCCCAGGACCACACGTTGTTGCGAGCAACCCTAGCCTGAGCCCAAGCATGCTCCCAGCTCATTCCAAGATCACTATTAATCGTATAAATAGTTAATGAACGATTGAAGCAGGCTGGAGCTGACCTCCGTGGTGTGCGCCGCTTCCCAGTTGGCGTTCGCGCCCGCCTCCGCGGGTGAAACAGAATTGAAGAGTCCGGGTCCGGATGCGCACGGCATGAATGGCTACTGAGCCCTTTCTGATTCGGACCGAAAGTCATGACTTTCCGCCTAAAGCGTCGCGCACCTGTACGAATTACCCCATACATCATTTTTACTTGCTGACCTTTACCTTAAAGTTGAGACCCTTGTGTTTACTGCTTTGTTCGATCCCCACCCACGAGCTTCGTCGCAGGGGCCCACCTCGCCCCGGCCACGGGTGCGCACTTGACAGCAATGTCTAAGCGGCGTGCGGAGACCTACGACCCATTATGCCTCATAGAGCGATGCAACTCGGAGAACTCGGTCTGCACCACGTACACGGGCAGCCCCATCGTGGAACAGGCGAGTCCTCTTCTTCCGGTCAAGCCCGCGAGCTGATCGGGGCCACCCCAACCTCGATCGGTCCCGGACACTCGCCACCAATCCCATAATTCATCCTCTCATCAATCCCGACCCCGCCCAACGTGTGCAGGCTGAGGATGCGCGGCTCTACGGCGAGGTGGACTACGACCTCCACCTGAAGGAGGGCCTGGTCTTCCCATTGGAGTACTATGGCACGGAGGAGTACCGAGTCCGATCCATCCTGGCCGCCAACCGGGCTCGCCTGGTCTCGCTGCAGCCGCAGGTGCGAGGCGCTCGTGCAGCGGGCCCGGGGTCGGCCTCGAGGGCGACCGGTTTATCGACCCCGCAGTACCACGAACGCCCACTCCTCCCCCCCGCATTCACCCCTTCCCCCACCCCAGGTCAGGGTCGACGACAACACCCTGGAGGCTGCCCTCATCCTCCTCAGCGCCTACGGACAGACCGACAACTGCTCCATTGCCTCCTGCATGTGGCTAGCCATGAAACTGCTGGCGGTGCGCACGGCGGCGCCCTGCCGCAGCCTGCTGTGCGCGGCCGCCTGCATCCAGCCGGCCGCGCTCTCCTGGCGCGAGCTGGAGGTGTGCAAGGTCCTCGACTGGGACCTGTCCAGCATCCTCCGGGAGGCCGGCATCGTGCGCTGAGCAGCGCCACGCTCAACCCTTCTTCCCGCCGCTGCGGCGAACGCGGCACACGCCACTCGCCGCCGTCTCAAAACCTGCTTCTGCGACCGCGACCCAGCGGAGCCACCTGCAATGCCCCCTTTTCTTCAATGGCCGATGGCCCGTTCTTTAGCACCATGAGACCGTCTTTTCTACGAATTTTCTGCCCTACATCCTGTTGCGACCCAGCATTCTCCCCAGACCAACCCCGGCGGCGCCCTCCCAGGCCTCTGGAGGCGCCTTTTTGGTTTTGATCCTTCTACGACCGTAACAATGTTTCACGCTTTCTTGCCTTCCGCCCGCCTGCTCCCCTCAACGCCCGGGCCTTCCTCGTAACCCCTCCCCGCACCCGTGAAACTCCCTCGTGCGCAGCTTGGCGCGGAAGCGACGCCCCTTCTTCTGCCCAGGCCCATGCCCTGCGCAACCCCAAGAGTACACCCCTTCTTCTCTGACATCCCAAGCACTGCCGAGCACTGCCTCTCCTAGATGCTCCTTGGCGCTGGTCAGCGACCTTGCCTGCGCCCCTCACGGGGCCCCTTGCTGCCCCAGCGCATAGCACCCTCTCACCTGCAACCTTCTTTCAAGCCTCGATTTTGCATGTGTCCCACCGGCCACCGTCCGGCTGACGAAATGTGGCGGTGCCCCTTTTTTTTTGTACATTGTTACAGGTTAGCAAAATCTTTTGTCACATTTGTAATAGACCGTTGGAGGCGCCAAGCGTGGCAGGCACACGAGTGGGTGGGAAGGTGTTTTGAGTGTGGGCGCAGAAGAGCGGGGTAATGGGAGGGTATCTTAATGAACAATAGGCTGCCATGAGAGAGTGTGTAGAACAATTGGCTGCCCTGAGAGGGTGTGTAGAACGATTGGCGGCCATGATTGCCTGCAAGTCTGCTTGAATAGGCGCACACCAGTGCCATACAGGGTGGCAAAGAACAAGAAGCTGTACAGCATGGATGCAAACCAGCAGTCGTGCAAGGTCGATGCATTCTACGGTCCAGACATCGAGCCATCAGCGTCGTCGCGGTCGACGCTGCGATCGGGAAGCAGCGCCCGCAAAAACTGGTTGCGAAACTCTGATGAGCAGGCGAGCAGCGCCGGCCACGCCACGAGCACAAAGGCTTTGCTCTTTGGGTCATAGGCTGTGCGGTGGTACGATTTTGCAAGCAGGACGGTGACGCACAGCCACGCGCCGAGTGTGACATGGAAAATG